CCATCATTGTTGTTTGGCGGGCCTGGGCTGGGGATTCGAACCCACCACCTTAGGTGTATGTGGCTGGCGCCTTAGCCAATTGAGCCACAGGCGCCGAGCCTGGCTATTTTCTTTTAAGAGATGAGGTCTCGCTCTGGCTCAGGCTAGTCTCAAACTCATAAACTCAGGAGATCCACCTACCTCGGCCTTCCAGAGTGTTAGGATTATAGGCATGAGCCACCACACCAGGCCTCTTTCCTTTAATATTTTAACTACATGATATTAAGCAATTATTTTCGGGGCTGGCTTAGAATCTGCCACCTCCAGCATCCTACTCCTTTGAGCCACAGGTACCGCCTGATATTAAGCATCTTATCTGAAAATAGCTGAAGCTAGGATTTAAATTTTTGGTTCGATGACATTACAGCATTGTTTGAAACAAAAGCACATGGATGACAGATTTTTTAGTTTTCAAGCTTCTTACCTTTGTCCAGTGGTGATGGACATCCATTGTGCCTAGCATCACATGGCCCACTGCGCTCACACCAGAACGGTCTGTGAATAGGATTGTGCATCCTGACGATAGAGCACAAACCCTTTGGTCATGGTTCAGAGATGCTTCATTCTTTTAGCATTGTGCAGATAATTAACTTTGGTGTACAAACTCAGTATTAAATTCAGTTGAAGCTTAATGGCTAATTTTATGTCACTGCTTTATTCAGAGAAACAGACTTAAAAATTCAGGCATGATAAAGTCTCTTAGTTTTCTACTATGATTTACAGATGTGTATAGCAGCTAGGTGATATTTTAAAAGGAGGTAGAAAATATTTACCTTTTGCTTTTTTAAGTGTTTCCAAGTTCTGTTGTGCTAATCGGCCTAAACTATGTAGCTGGCTACAGCGATGGGCGATGCCCCAGCTCCTCTGCCACCTAAGCCAACAGAGCACACAAGTGCATTAGCAGCCAGCACCCCAACGGCGGAGAGAGCACTCATCACTCATCCGAGTCCCGAGAAAGCCAATGAGTTTCTTTCTGAAGCAGCCACACACCACATTTTAAGTAACCTCTCTCCAAGCTAGCTGATTTCTTTTTTTTTTTTTAGTGACAGAGTGTCACTTTATTGCCCTTGGTAGAGTGCTGTGGTGTCACAGTTCACAGCAAGCTCCAACTCCTGGGCTTAGGCAATTCTCTTGCCTCAGCCTCCCGAGTAGCTGGGACTACAGGCGCCTGTCATGACACTCGGCTATTTTTTGTTGTAGTTTGGCTGGAGCCAGGTTCAAACCCACCACCCTCGGTATATGGGGCCGGCACCCT